AATAGAATCATAAGTAAGCATCAATTTAGTTTGTATACTTTTTGATCATAAGTATCTCTCTTATTACTCTTTTAGACATGCCATGCAATTCTTCTATATTTCTTAAATATTTCTTTCCAAAAACAATAATTAGCCATTTTCTTTAGTATAGGTATTAAGAGTACTTTTTAAAAAATTCAACCATCTATGCGAAATAAAAAGCAGAAATAGCGCTCTAGTGCTTCCACAACTATGGTAACAGTAGCAGTTGCCGCAGCTTCGCAACGCTTCATATAATTTTGATCTCTAAAAATGTCTAAATGCTGCTGGTTGTCTAACACCAGTATACCCCCAATTCGCTTTGAGTGTCAGAAATGTTTATGATCTGAAGTCACAAAGAAACAATAAATGCGCGCCATCGCCCTCGATGCGCTTTTCATGGGTCTCCCTCCCTCTGCCACACTGGCAACGGCCTGAAAGCTCATAAATTAGCTGTGACTTTGGGTAAGTGTTGGGCGAGTGTGAGTGCGAAGGGTGCTATTAAAATTTGTGGTGCTGTCAGACGGCAGTAAATCTATGAATATAACTTGCATATATAGTATTCATTGTATCAGTGTTTAGATTCCTGTCGTTTTGTACACTTTCTTTCACGCCATAAGCTGACAAATGATCCCAGAAACGAGAATATACTATATATTTCACATTGGTTACTACTTCTATACTGACCGTGCCTCATGCTGTGGCAAATTAAAAATTTAACACCACCTTTTTTCGTAAAATGTTCCACAGATCGCGCTGGAAGACGAGCCTCATAAACTAAAGCGCGTTGTCATTTATATCATAGTCATGTGCCTTGTAGCTTCACATTTTCAATGCACAAAATATATATCCCTGTGATTTAAGACTGTACGTGAAGAAGTTGCAGCACTTGCAATGAATGCATAATGAGTAAGCGAATCCGAGCTTAATCATCTTTTTGTAATATCAATGATTTACGCTTTCAAAGCAAATACATATTTACATTACGTTATAGGTATTTACTCTTGTGATCTTAGCAACTTAGAGAAAAAATGATATCACAAAAGCATATGGCAATAATGCGTAAAAAATGCTTGAATAAAAGTTGAAATATTTTTTAAAAAGCAATATTGTACTAATTAAGTACAATTCCATAAGTTGCGTAATAACGTTTTTATCAATAAATCAAAAATAATTCTAGTAACTATTACGTATTTAAATAATTTATGTTGGCTGGATGAACTCTTTTTGTAATAACCACTGCTAGTATCAGACCTAAAGCTTGTCGACTTAAAAAATCGCATTTGAGGTGGCTAAAAAAGTAATTTTCGACAACTTTGATAAATAGAAATTTGATGAGTCCGTTCACGCCCAATAATAATGTGGGGCTTATGCGTGTCTTTTTTTCCACCCTTCCTTCTTATATATTCTAAGTTCTTAATGAATAGACTGTTCAACATTGATGACAAATGGCAGACAATGGCTGGCGGGAACACGCTGCGCCCGCAGTTCTTGGGGCTGTAATTAAATGAAATCTCAAACGTTGGGCACCGCGTTATGCCTGCTCTTTTCTATTTCTCTTACTTCCCCCTTGCCGTTTGTTTTTTAAAGGCTTTTAAAAGTTCCTATATACGTTTTATTGTTTTCCGCTTCCTTTTTCATGCGTCAAGTCCACTAATTTATGCGCATTATTAATTTTATGAAATATTGAACATTTTTGAGCGAGCTGTAACAAAATATTTCTGTTCAAATGGCCGATTGCAAATTAAAGATAATGTAACAGCTACGGACAAGGGGCCAGTAGTATTGTTAACTACCTGTTGCCTCGTCTTCTTGGCCAAAAAAGTAACAAATTCCGTATTGCATAGAAACCGACTGAGACAAGAGGACAAACACAATTGGTAACCCAACTCAAAATCAATGTCCATCCATACACACATGCATGTGCATGTCTCGAGAAAACAAAAAAATTGAGCATGACAAAACCAACAGCAAATCAAACGAGCAACAGCTGCTGAAGGGACTCGTAGTTATAAAACCATGCGAACTATATACATGCACACATCTACGAATGCATTTAGAAACAGGCAGGTGCAATGTGTCAGCCTCAATTTTCAGATTTATTCAGGCTGTAAAGGCCGCCATCACACAAAGGCCTAGGCAAAGGCAACTGAAAGCAACAAATGTACGAGGAATGCTCGAATCAGCACAGGGGTCGACAAAAAATTGTTTAGAGATTTGCGAGAAAGGGACGCAATGTACACAAACAGTTGTTAGAAAGGACCTAACATTTTTCAAACAGACATAAATTAAGGCGTCCGTTTGAAATGATGTAACGTAAGGATAGGAAAGGAATTGTTATCTACCTGCCTGCTCGAGGTCCAGTTAGATATGAACGCAGCAGGCGCTGTCTCTCAGGTAGCCAGCTAATTGCCGGCTAAGCCAAAACATTGCTGCTCCCTTTCGAAACAAAAGCAATATCACTATAGCTCAACGTTATCTTTTATCCTTCCAGACGACTGGTGGACATGCCTGTACCAGTGCCAGATGCAGGATCTCCAAACAATGATGGCGTCGCCCCAAACAGCACTATTGTAAATGTGCCCAACACTGGAGAGTTAGGTGCTTCGCTGAGTTACAGATTTCCTAAGTGGTTCGCACGTCCTTCACTGCCATTTGTTATTGGAATTTTCGCCCTGGGAGGCGTGGCATGCACGCTTGGCGGCATCGTGCTCGGATCTACCGGCCTCATCGAGCACTCTACGCAATATTTGAGCGCCGCACTTTTAATGATTGGCATTGGCGTCTCCTTGCTTGTTATTGCGGGTGCCATTTGGCGCTTGAGCTTACCAGACGATGTTGATGATTGCCCCTGCTTCCGGATCGATCCATGTCGCCGTTGCAATAGCGTGCACTGTAATAATCGAATGTTCCCGGGTGGCTTGATGTATCCAGAGTTCCAGCATGGACCCCCTCCGCCTCCTTACATGACGTCCCTCAACGAATTTGCATATCTCTTTCATCCAAATGCCGCCTACGCCACCATGAGGGTGAACACACCACCACCATTCTACCGCTCCACCTACTCCTTGAAGTACGTATGCTCCTGTGTTTAGTAATGGCTTCAAACTAACTAACTAACTTCTTCCATTTCAGTGGACCAGTCACTCACGGACCAACAGCTAGTGCTACAATGACGCCGACAAATGAAATTACACTGCCTCAAATATCGGATCTAAACTATCAGAATAATACTGCTATTGTCTTTACAAGAGAAGCAGTCAGCCAGACATCATTTAAAGACATCGACGAGTCAAACGAGAATCAAACTGGCGTGCCTCTAGCTTCCGATGTGAGTGTCCACGAGCACACAGCCATTGTCTTCTCACGGGAAGCAGTTAGTCAAACATCATTTAAAGAGTCGGCTTAAGCCAAGACAAATCACACTGCAATGGAAAACACATTTTGAGAAAGATATAATATGAATGTTGTTTTGACGGATTATCAGAATAGAAAATATCTTTGAAAGTAGGTTTCCAAATATTTGTAAATCGATTTTACATTTATAGTTCAGGGCCCGAACATCATATGTAACCTTACCCAAATCTGACTGATTTTAATATACACCAATATGTCTCTACTATATATACTTCACATGAATATGTATATTTCCTTCATATTGAAAATTGTACAAATTGTTTTAGGTATGCGGATTGTTTAATTTTGATATAAACTTTACAATTAATTTTAATAAAATAAAATTGTATATAATTTATATATTTGTAAGAATGTATCTTTATGAACCTCCTATACACCATATGCTTTATACATATGATATGCATTTGTTGCATTTTAGTTGTAAGTCTTGTCATAGAGAAGTCTTTGACCCTATGTTATGTTGATCATATCGAAATGCCAAATTTATAATTAAATAAATATGTGTGTTTAAATGGTATTAGTATACAAATATTTCGTTTATTTTAAATTCGAGTTCTATTATGGATACTTGTATACTCTCTTATATACAAGTACAATCTATAAAATCCTCATACTCTCCTGGGCCTGTCAAAATTCCTAGTTGTGTGCTCGAAATATTTCCAAGTATTTGCGAAGTGTCGAAAAAGTTTATGAAATGGTTCCTCGATTGTGTGTTTCTCAACTCCAATAAATTGTTGTAAGACGGACATATGTATCTAGCTACAGAAGAAACTTCTTAAACTTCCTAACTCTTTCAGTCCCGCTATAAAGGCTTTTTTTGGTAAGCAGATCAAACGATTTCAAAAACAACGAACAGCGAGACCGCTCATTCGAAATGTTGAAGACATTTCCATAATATTACTTATTTCCATAAATTTTTTTTTATATCCACCTACAAAGGCAAAGAGGGCACATTTGGAGCCTTTAAGTGATGATGCTAACCGATTCTGTCTTCTATCAAAATAAAGTAGTGTTGTGTAATTCTCATCGTACCGAGTTGATCGGTAAAACTTACTTTAGCTCCGATAAACTCACCACACTGGATCCATTATAGACACAAACCACAAAACTGTTGAGGAATATAAGACTTTTCAGCTATTGCTGTAACAGCCAAGACACCAACAACAGACTAGTAAATACTTAAATTCAAAACATTTCAACAGTTGGTTTCAAAGAGACCAATACATGTTAAAAACACTTCACATTTTCTAAATATTAGGGTCACCTAATTTTGATTCAATAGTATAGCTAATTAGGTTATTTAAAATTGTGATATATAATAACAGGTACCTTTCCTATTTTGGCATCAGCGGAAAATAAATACTAACATTTCACTATTTGACCCAAAAGAGTGGTTTACTTTTTACTGCAGGCTTACAAGTGCGTGTGGGTGTGTTCATTAAAAATTTACAAAAATTCTATCTTGCATGTTCGAATTTTGTCACGCTATTGATATGAAGAAATGCTATAAATTGGAACAAACAATGTCACACATTGCCAGTCGTTAATCAGCATTCTAACTTAAAATGTATTTGAAAGTAATTATTGTGTCCCTTTTAATATTGGTTGTCGGAACACTTGTGGGCTTCTTAGCATTTCCCATGCTACTAGAACACTTAATTAGGCGGGTAAGATCAGAAGCTGCTTTTCACATTGAATTGGTACAATCTCTTATTAATTTGATTTGCCAGCAAATCAACTTGAAAGAAGGCAGTGATACGAGACAGATCTGGGAGAAAATGCCCTTCCCCATGAGTTTTAAGGTTTTTGTTTTTAACGTGACCAATGCAGTGGACATTGAAGATGGTGAAATGCCCGAGCTACAAGAAGTAGGACCGTTTGTATTTGAGTAAGTGGTTGTCTTAGAAAAGCCGAAATAAATGAGCTAAAAACGATTACTCCATAGGGAGTGGAAGGATAAGTACAACATTGAGGATAACGAAGCTGAGGACACGGTTAGTTTTAATATGCGTAACACGTTCAAACTGCGCTCTGATCTGGGATTAAGTGGTGAGGAGCTTATAACGATGCCACAACCCTTGTTGCAAGTATGTAAACTGTACATGAACACAAATAAGATATCATGTGCACTCTAACTTATTTGCAGTTCATGGCTATTTCCGTGCAAAACCAGCAGCCAGACATGTTAACAGCTACGGCAGTGGGACTTGATGTGATTTTTAAACCGACGAGCGCCTTCATAACCGCCCCCTTTATGGATCTCTTTTACCGGGGCATTGATGTCGATTGTGCGCAGGAACAACCAGCAGCTCAGGCCATATGCCAGACCTTTTACAAAGGCGATGTTCATGGAGCTGTCCAACAAAATGCAACACACTTTAAGTTTTCATTTATGGGCGCGGTAAATTGCAGTAGTATTATTCAGCAAAAAAGCTATGGATCGTGACATCGTTTGATGTAGTTATTAGTCTTTTTGTTTCAAAACGCTTGTGAAATCAATTATTTTTACTGTGCACTGACACATACCGTGAGCGGATGACAGTCACGATGCGCAGCTCTAATTCGAATCATAAAACATTTCATTTATTGTAGCATACTTTTAGGGCAACCACAGCAATGCCGGACGCTTTACAGTTTCCCGAGGGTCCGGAAACCGCCATAGCAGCACCGTCGGTCAGGTACTGCTGTTTAACGAACAGGATAAACTGCAGGTGTGGTCCGAAGGATTGGGGAACAGCAGCTGCAATCAGTTTCGTGGCACAGATGGAACTGTATTTGCTCCCTACATGCGTCGGCAGGAAGGCCTCTGGAGCTACTCACCTCAACTATGTCGCTCGCTGTCCCCCCATATGGTAGGCAAGGTTAACTATAACTTGCTGCCGGCATATCGCTACGAGTTGGACTTTGGTGATGCAAGCGTAAGTGGAAATTTATTTATGGCTTTATATATCAGTGCCTCATGAATTTCTTGCAGCTTGATACGGATTCGAACTGCTTCTGTAAAGCGTATCCCTTTGACTGTCCAGTGGCAGGCACAGTCGACTTGTCTCGATGCACGGGCACACCAATGGTAGCCTCCTTACCACATTTCTATAAGGCCGATATGCAACTAGTGCATCAAGTGAAGGGACTTAGTCCATCAGCTCAAAAACACAGCAGCGTTATAATATTTGAGCGGGTTAGATGCCGATAAAATTCGAAGGGGCTCATCTAATCCCAATATTGTATTTTTAGTTATCGGGTACCGTTCTCTCTGTGTATAATCGTTTGCAGTTCAGCTTAAATGTTGAGCCTGTGTCGGCTATTCCAGTCATGTCGAAGCTGCGAAATTTGACCATGCCGTTATTTTGGATCGAGGAGTCCATGCAATTGAACAAGGACTTCACCAACACACTGCAAAAGCAACTATTTTCGTATGTTTTTTTTAATATTTGCCAGAACAATTAACGCATTCGCAAAAATCGTTTAGTCCCATTAAGTTCAACAATGTGTTCCGATGGTTGGCCATCGCACTGGGAACCTTGGGCTTTGCAATGGGTGCACTTTTATTGCATCTGCGACGTAATGATGTCAAACGAGTGGCGCACAGCATCGAGGGTGCGAGCGTCGAGGACGATAAAAATTAAATGTAAAAATGAATTACTTTTTAAAACCTAATCTTAAACTTTATTTATATTAAACTTTTCACATTTCGTTTCCGTTTCTTCTTTTTTTCATACATACAAAGAACATTTGTTTTCCTTATACTTTGCAGACTTTGGTTTCAACTTTTCCATTTACGAAATTTGCACAACATTACTAGGATACGTATATTAATTGTACGCGCAGTAATTATAAATAAAGAAAATATATACAAAGCACTTTTTCCATGAGAGAAAAAGTCGAAATATTTTTTCTGAACAAACAGACTGGACAATCACAAAAAACCCGGAATAAGTTCAATTTGAAGCTGTACTATAACTAATTTAAGGGGACTATAGTAAGAGGGCCAAAAATGTTCACAGTTTCTTCGATTTCTTCTTTGTAGCCGTAGGCGAGGCGGGCACATGTATGCTGCGGGGTTTTTCCGATCGAAAGTCTAGACGTTTTAGCAGGAAGATGATAGCGCATAGTGCCAGCAGATAGACGGCCACAACGTCCAGCAGATAATACTGCCACCAACTGTGAAGTTTCCAAGTCATTAAGCTTAACTTTTCAAATCGAATTGGAGACAACTTACCTCATGTTGCGTGCCGGCGACTGTAAATGATAAGCACCCTTGTGACGTAGCACATACTCTGTCCAATAAATTGCCGTATCCAGAGCTGTCGAGCGCTGATCTTTCAGCAAATTCTGGCGGTACCTGTAACGCAATATAATATATAGGTTTTGTTAATGTTCTAAAAACAGCTACTACTAAAAAAAATTCACCTGGCCGCATTTCTGTATTGAGGGTCATGGACAACCTTCATAATGGCCTTGTACAGCTGATTAGTAGTTAGCGTTTCCAAGTCCAGCTTTAGTGCGTAGCCATCAACCTCAGCTTTGGCCGAATTGACATCATGATCGCAAAACACTGGCATGGTTACCACCGGCACACCATGGTAGACCGTCTCGAACATGCTCAGCAGACCTCCGTGCGTTACGAAAGCGCGCAGTTTACGATGACCTAATATATCCTGTTGTGGTAACCAACGCGACAACTTGACGTTTGAAGTCAGATCCTGCATGTCTGCTGCGCTGCCCTCGTACTTCCACAGCACGTGAAAAGGCAGACGTGCAAATGTTTTGACCAACATGCGCCTCAACGTCTCTGGCATATTTGAGGCCTTCACAGACGATCCCATCGATACGTAAATAAAGCCCGATTCTCCTGAAGACGCCACAAAGTCCTCGAGATCCTTTGGCAGCGCGCGTGCAGGCTTACAATGAATGCAAGCCACTTCAGCAACGTTTGGATTAAAGGCGCGCGGATAGGACACAACAGCATGTCCATTTTGCAATATGAAACTCACATTGCGGGACATATCGTATGGGTGGGGAATCTGTGGGCCCAAATGATCGCGCAACACTTGATGAGTGCGCCGCATGACGTACTGCAAGCAAAGTTAAATGGTTAGGTTAGATTTCGGAAAGAAAAATATTGTTAAAAAGGTACAGATGATAACAGAATCTATTTCATGAGTACTTGTATTCTTTGTAATTTTTTACGTACACTATGTAAAACATTCTGGCCAAGCTGCATGAACGTGTTGACGGATCGTTCATAGAGGGTCATTGTATCAGTGTATTTGGAATAAAAGTTTGGTGTGATGGCATAGCTGGCGGGATTCCCGGCCAGCGACAAGCTGCCCATGTAAAAGCCGACGGTATTGATATACATGAAAGGTGTCCTTTTCTGATAAAACATGCCAAGCACACACTCGGGAAATGCACCATCCAGTATGGCCAGATCAAAGTTGCGGTTCAACAGCTCCTTGGTCTCAGCATCTGCAAGCATGGCGTCACACGACTAGCAAAATGGTATGGTTAATTAAATCATGACAGTGTCATTGGCGGCATAGACATCAGTATGACTAATTACTAGTCGGAGGTTTCGTGTTCGTCGCAAAGTCGCAGCTTAGTGACATTTATCGTTAATGCATTTTTCACATTTGCCCATTTGTCAACCGTGAAACAATTGCATCTAAGTTTGAAAGCAAGCTGCTGCTAGGCCTCGACATAGTCATAGTGGAAAATGCCATGCTCGTCGTTAAATTTGCTACTAAAAGGTGTCCCACTGCTTACCTCAAATGCATATCGCAAGCCGTCCCAGGGCTTAATGGGCATTTCACCTGCCATGCGGGATCCAAGAAGATCCCAATTCGTATAGTTCTGTACGTATTCAACCAGACCTGCTGGTGTGACCTCATGCAAGCCCTCCAGATGAAAGTCTGGCGGAAACGCATTTAGGAAAGTAATGTTGTGACCTCTGCAAAGAGACACAAAAAAGAAAAGCAAATGCTGTCATTACTCTATTATTATTTGTTAGTCATAGAGAGGTTAATCATACTTTGACACTTAACGAAGCTCACCAGACCGCACATGACTTGGGCCAGGAATTGTTTGGGTAATTGTGAAAAGCTTTCAATTATCCATAGACTAAAAGCAACATTTACGAGTCTCATGATTTGTACACCAAGTTTTACTCAAGTCGTTATTAATACTTAAGCACTACTATTTTCACATTATATTCAAACACTTCTCGGAATCACATAAATTACGCGGCCGCACTATTCAATATTGACAACGAAAACTGCACAAAAGACACATACTTGTGTTGTAAATAGTTATCATCCTTTGTCAACTTTTTTTATGATCACTTTGGTATTGCATACATTGTCAACAGCAACAACAAAAGATAGCAGGAAACTCTTTCCATAGAATCGCCATTGTTCAATGTAACAAATGCATTAGTTAAGCTTTGTAAGAAAGCAATACTTTGAACTTGACGCGAGGCCCTGCAGTGAGCATTGATTTTGAACCCACCTGGCTATTAATCCTCTGGCTAGTTCCCAAAAGGGTATTTTGTGCGATTTGGTGCCGCCCAAGGTGGCCATTAAAATATCCTCCGCCAACGTGCTGCATGTGCAAATTATTAAAAGCAGACCGCATATTCGGGACATCTTGCTGCAAAGAATTAGGAATGGTATTGAAATTAACTTAGAATCTTTATACCTGCACAAATAACTAACAATTACTAGAGTTAGAATTAGCACACGACCAACAGCTTTACGCAACTTTATTGTGATATTTGGAAGATGAACGTGCTGGGCACTGGGCTTTATAGAATTTTGGTAGCCACTGCGCACCGACTATTTAGCTCACTTAATCGAGCGTTTAGTATATCTGCGCCCCAAAATGATATAATGTTCATATAATTGCTTTGTTGTTTTGTTATTGCTTCGTCCGGGGACTTTAATGTTAAATACACTTTTTAAAGGAATTTTTCACTAATGCGATCACACGCACACAGTGTCAGCAAAAAGTCAACGCGCGCGTGTCAATAAACGTTTTTTCAACTTTGAATAGCTCAAATTACAAATGAGCAGACAGGCCAGCACATTTGGCAGCACTCTCGAACCAAATGTGAGGTGCTAATCGGTAGCGACTTGCCTTTTTATTGCAAAAGTATAAAGCGTTTTAAGATGCGTACTTAATCTAATTAGTTCTAGTCGTAATTAAAGCGGTGACGTTAATAGGGCTCTGACGATAAATGAAAGGGCCGTTATGTGCACTGCAAGATGTGGCGACTTTTCTAAATCAGCTTTTCTTCTTTAACATCAGTACAGGCGCCATGGATAATTCGAAAATTGATAATAAGATTCGACTTGCCAGTTACCGCGTCGGCAAACCCCAATACGACCTACTTAGTAACAATGCAAATGACGCTTGACAAAAATTACTTAACACCGTGCAGATGAAACACTGAACCTGACTCATACTATTCGACTTAGAAACCAAATCGAAATTTCATAACTATAACTTCTGCCTTGAACACCTTTCATATACACGCAAAACTTCTCAGGTTGAAGAATGCTCCCTGTCCAAGCAACTATCATTGAGTTCAAGGCGGCTCATTGCTCTGTAATGGCAGCAAAACACAACCATAACAAGTATTTAAGCAGCGTGTTTCTAGATCAGACCCGATGTTGCATGCCAGTAATTGTTCATAGTTGTTGTTGTTGTTGTTATTGCTTATTTTGGCGGCTTGCTTTACGCATTGCTTAATAAAATAATTAATCGAAAATTGTGCTCTGTGCTCTGTAGTCGAAATTCTTTGGCAATCACTTTGCGAAGGAACTGGTAAGACTGGTAAGACTGCAGATATGTATAAATTCTCTTTAGCGGTAACAAGCAACTAAGTAGCCTCTTGAAAGACTCCGACTGATTGATTGCAGCTGCCGAAATTATACACTTCCGTCCAAAAAACAAGCCGTTGTCAACGAAGCAAAGAAGACAAACACGTGCCGCCAACATAGGCTTAATATTTCTATGTATGTGTGTGCATAAATTATATAAAAACATACAAAATCGACATGTGTATTCATAAATACATTTTAATTACGAAGTATTGTATACTATAGGAAGTATTCCCACTACTCAAATGTCTCATCACATAAAACTGCAAATGTTTTTAATCGCAATCATCGAAGAGCCATTAAATACACATTTGGCTACTCTTATGGAGAAAAACGATTTGCGAAATCGATGTATAAAAATCAATTTGCAGGCCATATAATAGCAGCAATTCGATGCAGACAACGCCATGAGATGCAAGAAAACACGAATATCACCCTAAATAAAAGAAATATCTGCTTACCAATTTCAGCGCCATTTATTGCAGTTGACAGTTTAATACAGTAAAATATTTTAAGTCAATTAACAAATCAAAAATTCCATAACACACAAAGCAAACAATTTGTAAACAACAAACAACAAAAATCTCTGTCAAAACAGAAAAAATCGGCGTACTCTTTGTCAAGTTCAAGGTAAATGCTTTGCTTTCGAACTCTTTTATTGCGCCTTGGGCTCTGCGCATCATCAAGAAAATAAGCGATAGCGTGGGCCGAATGGCACTTAAGTGGGACACTTGAGTGCGCCCCGAGCAGTGGCATGAACAAAGCTCATCTAAGCTACTTGAGAAAATTGGCAAATTAAAAACACACCGACAAATGCCAGTCCTAAAGAAAAGTAAATTCTAGCAATACTCTATACGCAGCTCATGCACACCCTATTTTTCCCAAACTACCGGCTTAATGAGTACTGAGAGCTGATCTTAGCCATCTACACAGAATCAACATTTAATAATGAAGCCACAATAAATTGAAACTCGATAAGTCCGAATGTTGTCAGCATGCTTGAGTGGTCGGTGGCCATGGTGGTCGTTCAAGTATTCGAGACAAGCTGCTTAGCATAACTGCCACTTTCACACGACACAACGAAACAGAAATGACAACAAAATTGGCAGCAATACCAAACACGTTATTGGTAAATAAAGCTGGCCATTTTACACGCTTACAAGGTTTACTTTAATATTGCCATCAATTTAACGAATAAAAATTCTGCATACAGTTCTGAAATAGTAATCGGTTTCTAATTTGCATCGCTATATGGTCGAAGTTGAATGGTAACTTCAGTTTACTACGTATATACGAAGCAAGACCTTAAGTTCTCTGTGAGATTAATTAAGAAAAATAAAAATGATGATATTATAATTTTAAGAATATGCAATGCGGAACTTATTTCTGCTTGCAAATAAAATGAATCGTTATACTACTATCGCAGAAATAAATGTCCGGCTGCAATGCGAGTTACCAGTTACATTTACAGATAACGCAACACCATTTTACGGGCTGGTGTTATGCCGCACACGTCCAATTGCCAAAGATCATCACAGCGGCAACAAAACCGGGCAAAGGCTAATAGCCACTGACCAGCACCGATCCAAATATTGCAATATGCAAGTATTTGAAATTAACACGCACACGTGCGCGTATTAATTCAATTTCATAATACGTTTGTTTTATGCCCATGCATAAAAAAGCGGTGGAAACAAAAAACACACACATTGCTTATTATTACGTTTATGTTTAATTTGATCGAACACTGTGGTCGCTGTTCGGTCTCACAAAAATCAAAAATCAAACGCGTAACAAAACGTTTTGACTTTTATTTTAATTGGTCACGGTGTCAGCTGTCATTGTTATCGGTGCGTTACCTTTTTCTACCTGTCTGTCTGTGTGTGTGTGTGTGTGTGTGTGTGTGTGTGTGTGTGTGTGTGCATGCCTGAGTACTTGTGTATGTGTGGGTGCGTGCCAAAAAAGATGTAACAACTTTACTTCATTTAATTACAAGCCTAAAGCGCGGCAATTTTGATTTCACTTCGAATCCCACCCTAGCTAGTTCGTTGCCTAAGTCTTTCCTTTTGCACAATTGCGCAGATTATGCCTAAACACTTCCTCTGCACTAATTGATTATTGGTTAACGAATGCATAGTGGGCATTAAAAGAAGCTACACTATTTGCCGCATGCCAATCCCTCCAAGCCACCCAAACCATCTTCTCATGAATTCCCCAACAACTACGAGCACTCAAACACATGTTTATGTAATTTCCAATGCCTAGCATGTGCGGCAAAGCGCCACTCATACCTGTACTGTATACATATAATATACAAGTATGTATATGTTAGTAGTAGTGTAGTATGTACATATGTATGTACGTGATTACGAATACAAAGGCACGAATTGTGGTTTCCAGCACACTTGAACTGCATTTCACTGTAACCAGTTGCATCTGGCAACAAAAACAACTACGTTGAAGTAATGGTGATGAGGATGATGATGATGATGATCATCACAATTGAACAAAGTTGGACAATGTGCGGCTTGGGGCATTGCTATCAAGTTGAATGCGCCGAAAACGAAAGTGCAAGCGGCGCAGGCGTTGCAAGCGCTCAGAAAATTGAAAATACAAAGCAAGACCGAAATGCGAAGTACAAAAAAATGCTTCATTCAGTCGAAGAGCCCAAAGATAAAAAAAAATAAATAATAATAATAATAAGAAGTACAAAACACATAAAGAGGCACGAATGACAGCGATACACACACCGCACACCACAAACCACACATACATACAAACAAACCCACACATGCTTGGAAACTTGCTAAAAATCGCATAACCACTTTTGGCATGTCTAATGCGTCAACCTCCTTACAACGCAACTTAACATGGTTAAGTATTTTGCAAGCGCCTTTATTTTTTAGTTTTATTTTTTTTTGAACAGAAATTTCGAAATGCATTTTCTTACGCATGCATTTTCTTTCGCGTTCATTTATTTAGATATGCATTTTTATTATTTATTTATATATATATAAATATATATTTATTTTTATAAATATTGTTTTTGTTTCAACATATGCGCTTTTCGATTGGACAGAAGCATCTCCGTGCAGCGTGTTGACAGTGCCGACCGGCTGCCTTCCAAATTGGCTTGGCCCCAAAAAACCAAAAAAGAACATGCAGAGAAAGTAGAGACCTTTTACCTGTGCCCAACCAGAGAGCAAAGCGATGCTTACACACAGCCAAAAATAAACAAGGGAGTATAACTGTAATCAGGTGGAATACTTGCTGTGAAACTGCATACCGAAAGCTAACTGTACGCATTTTACAAGTATTGGCTTTACATATACAAGTAGGCGATGGCCCACGATTTCAGTCGCAATTCATTTGTCTTTCACATACGCCCCAATAGGCGTACTTGTAAATACAATTCGGTCGGCAAATTGTTATTGCAAAAGCTCCCAAACAACTACAACAACAGGAGGCATACAAGTATTTACAACTTAGCCATTATAATATTACTGTGTATACGCGTGCTTTCTGAAGTGCTTACTCGAATTTACATACATTTCTCTACATTGGCGAACATTTGAATAGGTTCACAAACTATTTGGCCCAATAATTCTTAAAATATTTCAAACCAAATGAATAAACTAATTTGATTGTCTGCCCTTATAGTATACCATTCAGCTTCTAACTCAATTAAGCATTCACTGTCATCCAATTCCATACAGGGTTTAATAATACAAAATATAATAATGTTTTCGCCTTTTAACTTAACTTTCCTTAAAGAAATAAATATTTAGTTAAATGAAAGTATGGCACACAAACTATAATTAACTAACCTAAAGGATTAACAATTCTAGGATATAGTTTCTATTTAATTGTCGACCAGAGTAAATATAACACAATATGTACTCCAATATATCGTTTGTATGCGTATGCACAATCTTTACTTTCCTTTATTGCGCGCACACACACATTGCTGGCGCGGCTCTTTGTGTTTGTCTCTCAACTGCCACACATGAGGCTTATTGTTTGTTTGCTTGTTTCAGTTTTACATCATACTTATGTGTTTTTGCCAAAACGAGGTGTAATAAAACAAAATAACAAAAGAGATGACTCAAAATGCAAAATGGTAAAGTTAAAAGCGCTCTTTTTCGCATGCACAAGATCCCGTAGCTATTTTAACGCTTTGTTTATTAACTCAAATTTGGCATCTTTTTGGCTCTTTTATTTCAGTCCACTTTTGAATATAACCCAGTTTTTGCATTGGATACAGATTGCTTATAATGTGTTGTTGTTAGCTTCACAAGTTTGTCGCCGAACTCATTTGTTCAAGTGTAAATGTATGCAAATCGCTGCCATGGTCAGTGGCACTGCCTACCTTTGCACGAACTGAGTGAAGTGCTGGCTCTGGTTTGGGCTGTTCAGGCGGCCCTTTACAAAACAATCCGCCAGGCTTACACCGATTGGTTACCTTAACTAATAAAACTGTCAAATTTCATACAAGTAGTATATTTCTCAAAATAAACAAGCTTTTTCTACGCAGTAAAAATATTAAAATGAGCCGACAAAAAAATGGGTAATTAAAATAAAACGGATAGTCGAAATATGTGCAAAAACCGACAAAACGTTGCTTCTTTTTCCATGTCGATGAAGTAAGAAATCACCGACATACAGCATACAGCACACCAAATTTTGTTAGAAATGATACATGAACAACAATTAAACAATCAACAAAAACCTGAGCCTGTGCAATGCCAACACATGTCCATGAGGGCGCAGCAAAAACGTCTTTCAGCATTTGTCTCCCCCACGTTATGGCTGACGTTGTTTTTGCAGCGTGTTAAATAATGCCAAATTATGGTACAGACTGGCGCGCCATCGACACAAATCATTTCTCATAAATTAATTACAGATGCGACAACTAAAAGCAATAACAGAGCTTTGGCTAAAAATCCCAAAACCGTCAACGACCTTGACCACATTTCCGTGGATATGATGTTTTTATTTTTTAAAAAAAATGTAAACGAATAAAACCTTTTATATATTTTTTATAGTTTTGGGCCATTTACCACAGGTTTTCCATTTTAATATGAAATAAATCATGTAGTCCAGTACTCTTACAACAGCTACACAAGTTCGTGTCTTAAGTCTTTCGTTTATGAGCATTAACTTTCCTGGATTGCGTTTATGTTTGACGTGCACTTGCTGACTACAGCTCTTTTATGACAACAGATGAACTATGTAAGTAATTTTCTTGAATTACGTTGACCTTGCGTCGGCCCAACGCACTTGCCACACTTTTTTCTCAACATTAAGTCATCATCGTGTTTATGCAGCTAATTTTCTCCGCCTACCTTTTGGGCAATCTCGGGTAGGTCTTATGTCGCTTGACTTGTGTGTTTACGCAACTTTAGAGTTGTGCAAAAAATGTGTAATCCATGAACCAACGCTTGACTTCGACTAGACTCTTCTAGCTTTCCTTTTTAAAAGCCTCAATTACGTTAATTTGCCGTCAATTTGTCGTCCCCTGTTGAAAACACAAAAAAACTAGATTCTTCTACTACATACAAAACTTTTTAGATACTTGGTCCTACATACTATGTGTAGGCATATATGTAGAATGTGTGTGTGCTTTTTCTTATGCTAAAAGTTGACCACGTTTAATACAAGCATAGCCAATTAGTTCCCAAGCAGTATACATTTATAAAATACCAGTATTTATATAAAATATGTATGCATACCTAATTGGTTGGTGGCAAAAAAAACTAAGTCTTGAATTACAATACAAAATTTAAATTCAAGCTAATAAATTTTAAGAACCATAGCAAAGCTAAAAGTTCTCTTCCCCAATTAATTTTCTATTATAACTCTACGGCATTCTGAATATAATCAAAAATTACACAATACATTTGAAAAGTAATGCTTAGTAATATGCAAAATTTTGAGTAATTGCAAAACTTACACATAGTGTGTGTATGTACCTTATATGTATTCAAAAATATGGTTTATATATTCCAAAACTAAAGCTCGTGTTTTTTATTGTTGTGGACCTTTTTGTTTTTATATATTTGCATGAGCTTTGAACTTATTTTTTATATTCTTTAGATATTTTTTCATGTTAATTTATTTATAGCCATTTGGTGAATGCACTTTTCAAACTGCCACTTCAGTCACTTGCATTAATGCATTTATTTTAGTCGCCAACGGCGTGTACTTCTTTCGCGCCGCCGCTCAATTCAATTTTCCAGCTCTTTTTTGAATTGTAATTCGGAATGGCGTCGCGTATGCAAAGCTGTTAACACACTTTCACCAATGCAAACGTATTATTTAATACACTATACATCGATATTAATACAGTGATAATAAAAACGGAACAATTTTACAATGCATGTCGGTTCGCAACGGCCGCAATAAAGTTCGCGTATTTCTTATTTTAAGCGCAGCAGGAGCAGCATCGGTAACAACAACAAACACTTGCCACCTATTTGGTAATAAGTGGAAACGCATAAGCCAATTGAACTTATTATGGCCAATTGACATTCGGCTACTGCATGTATACAAAACAAGAAACAACAACTTCTACTAAACCAGAGCGAGCCACTTTTCACTTTTCTTTGAGTCGTCTCGGAGCGACGCGCTCAGCATGCGCTTGTAGTTTCCCCGCTAGCTGGCTAAAAGCAACTGAGCCGCATTGGCGTGTTGATAAAGCCACGACGTATTTTCGGTGGGCTGTTTAACAAAACGGCCAGAAGCAGGCAGAGCAGTTAGTGCTGCACATACATTAACGACGAAATCAGTGAACTTGTTGACGACTTTGGTCCGAGCTAGGCTTCGAACGTTGCGTTTCTCTGGTATTTTTTAGCACTTTAACGCAATTAAAAGCGGTCGCAATTCTTTTTTTTTAGATTATTTTGAATTGGCTAAATATATAATACAATATATGATTCATTTTCAGAAGTGGCACAGCTAAAAATGGTTTTGTTTTTTGCAGATAACTCCCATTTTCTGCGTAATATATGTAAATACATATATTAGGCGCTAGTTCGATCAAACATAAGAGGTCAGTAGAACAGTTTGATAATGCGAAATTTGTTTGATAATGCGAAATTTGTTTAAATATATTTAGGAATTATGATAGCACAAATATGGAACTTATGCACTGAATTATCTTAGTTTAAAGTTCGAATGTGTAAATAGGCGAGTTGACATGAAAACCTTGACTTAGTTCTGGCGTCGCGTTGACTGGCGCAGGTTTTTCTCAATCTCGAACTGACGTAAGTCCGTGCGTTGTAGAAAGTCCTGGCGCTCCAAGTACCTAAGGAAAAATAAAGTTAGTAGTGAACAATATTAAATATCTATCCAATCCAATCTCACCCATCTTTGCCTTTGTTGTGTGTTTGTAATTCTTCATCGATGCCTTCGCCACTCTTAAAGTCTTTCCAATCGAGCTGTGATTTCTCCAGCACGGACATCTTCTTCTTTTTTCCCAATTGGTTGAGTAATGAACCCAGACCACCGGCATTTCCATTTGCCGGTCGCTTCGCAATACCAAAAGATCGAGTTGGTGGGGCTGGTTTTGGGCTAGGTGTGGCATTGGGCTCTTGTAAACTCTGCTTCTGATTTTCCTTGCTCACGGTTTTTTGTACAGTCACCTGCTCGCCAGCAAAATCTAATACCTCTGTTATCTGCCTGGTGACTAGTGTATCGACCTTGGCTGTAGATCCAGCTTGCGTTTGATTTACACTGTCTTTTGCCTCCTTTGCTTTTAAACTAACTGGACTCTCAGCTTTCGCACTTCCGACATCACATAGGAAGTCAGCCCACAACGCATCAGAACGTGATTTGTCGACATCTTCGTCCGACTCGAGTTCGTCCTTCTCCTTTGAACATTTGCCATCATTTTGTTGCGCCTCTTTGAGACGCGTGGTGCGAGAGTTTTGGCTGGCCTCCTTTTTTGAGCTAGCTTTGGCTTTTTTGCTGCCCTTTGTAGTTTTTGTATTTTCAATGGAATCCGCATCACTGCCGGCGTCCTCACTGTCTTCGGCGCTGCCACTCGACGAACAAGAATCTGCGTCATTTTCTAGGCAAAAATCTTCGTCACTTTGATCACTATCCGAGGCGTAGTTTTCCTCTTTATTCATATTTGTTAACTTACAAATTTATTGATTGGATGCACTCGTTGTTTTAACTTTTTACCGTGTTGATTTTCGGTGACAAAAGTTGCGAGCCGCGATGTTCGCTTTGACAGAGGAGGGCAGCCGACGCAAAATGAAACCACATATCAGCTGCTGCACGCGTGTCACGCAGCAAGCACAATGGCGCGTCACTCTGGCCATGCTACACCTGGTTAGCATTTCGCTCTTTAGTTAAAAGGGATGTTGAATAGCGAATATTAAAATCTTTTTTCATAAATCAATGAATTGTTCTCTCAGAAAAATATTTAAGTAAAATAAAAAAATGATAACATTTACATTTATTTTTACTGAACGGTGATCTAAATCTTCTAGTTCCTGCGCGAACAACAGCTGACCAGTTCATTTCCAAAACGTTTCATCGTTAGAGCATGTAAGAAATGCGACAGAAAACAAAAACAGTAATATTACGAATAAAGTGATATTGTTATTTTATTAGCCACTAATTGTCATGCTATCGCTAATCTCTAGATTCGTGCAAAACAAAATGTAACGCGCGTACTAAAAAACATTTTTAATAATAAGCAATGCTTATTAAGCATTAGCCATCCTTTTTCAATCTACAAATTGAAACATAAATAACGAGAAAAACGCAGCAGGATATTACAGCAAGACTGCTACTGTAACTCAGGTGTAACATAAAAAGTCGCATGCGGATTTAAAATAAGGTTCGCCTTTGAAATTAGAGCACTTCTTGGAGTACGTGGGTGCTTGTGTGAGTACGCGTCCACTTACTAGAAACGTACATTCATATGTACATACATATGAACATAAAAATAGCTTATAAAATCATTTTTCAATTGCAGGTTCATATTAAATAATACCAATAATGTTAAGGGCTTAAAAATTAGCTTATACAAGTAGCTATCCGATGTGCAAATAATGAGCAAAGGCATCAACAAAAGCAATAAATATCGACTTAAGTAGCGAGAATAACTCAAGAACGCGTACTTCCAATTGGCATCTCTAAAATCTGTTGGACAGTTAATAAACTCAGCTTGGTCATGTTTTCCGAAGACAATGATGAACTGGACACTATTGCAGATGTCATGGGGCTGCGATCACAGGCTCGCCTTAACACTTTTCGCGAAATGTGGTATCATGTCTTCCTCTGGGCACTCTTCTCCTCCATTTTCATACATCTGTGTGCGGCTTTGGTAGCCTTTGTGACGCTGCGTAAACATAAATTTGGTCGATTTTTCTCAATACTGATATTGGTCATGGGCTTTCTATCGCCGGCCTCCAGCGGGATCTTCAGTAGTGCAGTTATCGCGTTTGTGCACCGGGCTTCTAGCCTCCCAATGTCGCCAGTTTATGCCATGATCTGGGGTCTGGGCCAGACCATAGTATCAGCTTGTCTGGGCTTCACACGTATCCTGGCTACTCTATAAATTGTGCTGAGCCTGAGAACAGTAAGGATTTTGTTCATTGTAAATCAACTTTCATTTCTTAGCATATGTTAACAAACATTTATAATCAATCGACTTTAATAATTTAGATTTTATGTGTTATCAGTCACTCTTCTCATTAATTTCCTTACATATAGTTTCCTTATTTTGTTCAATATAGAAAATATTGGATATGACAATTTCGTATTTAAATTTCAAATATTGTGATTTTTAATTATATACGATACGGAAAATCTATGAAATAAAGTAGTATTTAGTTCAACATAAAATTACCATCTACTGACATTAAATCTCAGATATTACTAGATTAAAGTATTTGGGTCTCGAGTACTATACAACGTATGCAGCTTGCTACAGAGCACATTCCCAATTCGTCTTTCTGTTTGTAACGGATGTGGACCATTGCTTCGTTTTATCTTTATATCTGCAAGCGTTTGCACAGCGTCTGTATTGTTATCAAAATGGTCCAGCAAACGTTTCGGGCACGAATAGTGCGAAATAATTGACTCTGCAACCTCTAAAGTAACCAAAGGGAGGCGATTAAGGTGCTGTTGCCACAGACGTCCATACGATGCTGCCCCACCTGATTGGACGCGGACGCATTGCTTCTTATCATTAGCTAAATACTTCTTGAAGCTGTGCAGCGTTTCGGCCCGCTGGTGTTTGTATGGCGCCTCAGCAATGGCTTTGGTGTAACGTTGTAGCAAAGCTAGGAGCTCATCACATCCAGCTAGTCCCAATTGTTCTACGTGGAGGTCCTGCAACAGCTGCATCTCAATCAAAGCATTAACTTCGTGGCTTTTGTGGTTATTCCTATTTTGACGAGTCCGTGGAACCACTACCGTGTACCTACACTCGGGGAAAGCAGTATGTAATTTCGCTCCAATGAATTCCAGAGTTTGATTGTTTAGCTCACGCTGAAAATCTCTATCTGTAAGTAACATCAGCGTTTGGTTTTCCATGTGCCAGGCATCATCCAAGTTGACACCTGACACCAGTGAGTGCTGGCCCACATTCCGCTCCCAGATGATGCAATTACTCATTTCCAGCTTACGTACATCGTATTTCAATTCTTTATTGTTTAATTGATGCAGTAGCTCCTGGGCAAAGGAATTGTTTAAGAGATTGGCATCCAAAACCAATCGCACGTATTTTTGACACACACCAGGCTTTATCCGTTTCTGCTGCTCCTTGATAGCCAGCTTTTGCAAATTCTCTACCTTCTTAGACATTTTGCTATGCGGATTTAATATTTGAAATTTAAGCGAACTAGCTCTGCTAGTTCTTGTTCTAGTTCTCTTTTGATGCTGATTTATTTGATGACTGGATGATCATTTAACAACACTGTCACTTTACAGTCTGAACTAGTGCTGCTCACACGTGTTTTTGTTGTGGATTTCTAAATTGCAAATAAAATACCAACATTTTAATTATGTATCTGATGTACACGCTAAACGAAAACGGCGAGCGGGTTTACACGTTGAAGGTATGTTAGGGTTAAATAACAACAAACATTAAGTGACAATTCATCAATTTTATAGAAACGCACCGAGGATGGCCGCCCCACTTTATCGGCACATCCAGCTCGGTTCTCGCCTGAGGACAAATACTCACGACAACGCATTACTATCAAGAAACGTTTCGGACTGTTGCTGACGCAAAAGCCCGAGCCCGTGTTTTAAATAAACGCATTTCTAAGTTTAATGGCTGATACTAATGTATTTACTTACGAATTATAAATAACAAATTTTTTATAAACAAATACGCTAAACACGTCGTTTAAGGCCTGCCGTATAGTCAAATAGCTGGGGGTTCCGAAACTCGCCACGCATATCAAGCACATAGTAAAGCGTCTTGTTTTTCACCTTTATTGGCAATTGCACTCGAGCTAATTCTCGAGACTCTTGCGCCGATATGCATTTCAGTGGTACCGTCATGATGCGATTACGATTGAATGGGCCATACGTAACAAAAGACACATCTTGTCCACCTTTTCGCAGTATCAGGAAACGCACAGAACGCAGTGTAAACATCCAGGCAGCAAACAATATGCCATACCCTGCACAAATTTTATTAGCAAAATAGTTTCTGAAGTTAAGATTTATGTATTTAGCTTCTACTTACCTATGGCAAAGCAGCATACTGCAATACCATTTCTGTACTTGTTCTCACCGAGATTAATGCGCTGATACCACTTCAGCTCATATTCAGGATTTTCTACAACGGGAGCATCTTTTAGGGTTGTAAAAGCGAAATGCGATAGATAGCTCCAGAACACAAACTGACAAACGGCGAAGACGTTGAGGATGTTGTAAAAACGAGGATTTTCGTATTTAAACAATATGATGTCCTTAGACACATTGGTGCTGACATCAAATGCAGGGCTGGGTGTGCAGAAATGTTTTGTCGGCGCCGTCGGTGCCTTACTAATCCTGCACAATCCCTGCAGTGTTTGCTTTCTCAACTTTAATGCATTAAGTCCGTGTTTAAGCACGACATTTAATAAATTGCTCATTTTAATTGGCAATTTATTTTAAGCATATTTATTTATATAAACCGATAGCAAATATAACCTCGCTTTTTCCCAGATGATTTTGTTGTGTTCCACTTGCACCACGACTCCCTGCTGGCTCGCTGCACTGAACTAGTTGCAACAACTAGTTCAAATTTCCATCAGCACATTTGTTGTTGGCTACAAAGATTTAGTCTGTGTTTGGAACGCCGATGTACAAGCGGTTCTTTGCTCCGTTTGGGGTGTAAACAAAACGACTGAAAATTGTTAAAAAATACACAAAATATTATCAAAACTTTATTTAACCATAAAAGAAGTGTGTATCAACCATTTTCTAAGCATTTGCAGTTTACTTTTTACAGAATTAGCTTGGTTTTTCGCAAGGTAAGTTCCCCAGACCCTTTAAAATGTTGATATATGTGTATGTATGTATTGCCAAGTTGAATGTATTATTACAAACAATATCAATTAATCTATGTATATGGCTTGGTTTGGATTAGTACGAAGTTTTAGTATAAAACAAGTGGTTTGAGAGGTATCTGAGAACACCCTGTTCGCGTTCCGAATTTTTGGTTTGGGTAAGACCACTTTAATATATTTTACTTGTGCAGGGTTGTCAAGTGTCCGTTCTATTAAATTAATAGTATAAACTTAAAATGTGTACTAAGATCATGATTAAAGATTATATTTTGAGTAATCCGTCAAAATACTTACAAAATAAATATGCATTGTTGCATATCAATCCTTCGTGTACTTATACGGTACACATAAATAATTGTCAAACATGACAACCCTTTATATAATATGTATACTAAATATAGTTTGTTTTTATTTATGTGCAACGTATTTATAATAGCATTGTATATTAACAAATAGTATTAAAATTCTGATTAGGTACCTGACAACCCTAAAAACATAAAATGTACAATAGAAGGCTGAAAATGTGTTCCCTATTACTTTTATTTTGGTCGCAGCTTGTTTGTCGGGTTTTAGACATTCAGGAAATATTTGCAACTTGCAGTTGTATATTATACTGTATAAAGCTAATAGGGTCTTGACCTACATATGCTCGTATGTACATACATATATACATATGTATGTATGTACATATGTAGTAACTGAGCATACTTAAATAAACCCGTTGAAGTTCTCGACTTAACCTAACTTTGTATCAAAATCGATACGTAACCTATAAAATGAGCCCGTGGCAAAATGTTATTCATACATAAATATGTACATATGTATGTATGCATACGAATGCATTCATATTCACTTGTATTCACAGGAACAAGTAATTGTGTTGCTTTGAACATACATATATGTATGTATGTCAGGTATAAATACATACATATGTATATGTGCATGTGTGGGAGTGAAACAGCTATAATAGATATCACACCCAAACGGGTCCTAACTTCCACAAAGCTCTAGCCATCTACATTGTATGTATAAGATGTAAAAATGATTTAAGATTTATTTGAGGGTTAATGCATTAGGGATAATAACAATAGGATTATGAATACAAACAAACATTTGTACATATGAACATATTTATATGTATATACATATGTAAGTATTTCTATATAGTTTTTCAATATCAATTAAGTTTAGAATATGGAAAAGCAGCGCTTGAGTACAAGACCAGTTTTCCCGAGAGAAAAAATCTCTATGTATAATATTGCTTTGACCAACAAATATGGCTGCCACCGCCTCAGTTTTTGTTTGCATCTGTTTTGGTTGTTGCTTTTACGCTTGCTGCTGTATCTTTCGGTTGGTCTCGTACAGCAAAGCCGTCGTGCGGTGTTCGGCACTATGGCGAACTTTTTTTTTATTAAATGAATACATACATACATACATACATACGTATGTATGTAGATGTGTTACACATACATACATATGCATATGTATTTTTACCTCGTATTAACGTCCAATTTCGCTCTCCATTACTCTCTCAAGCTCTCTTGGTTATTGTTTTGAATAGTTCCCCCTTCTTGCCAATGGAAACCCGGTATCGCTCAATGGTCCTTGCCTAGGCGAAGGATCCTGTATGGAAATGAACAACTTCGTACATGTACATACATATATATGCATGTATGTATGTTAATATGTTGCTGATGTCCAGTTTCTGTTGCTTCAAGTTAGCAAAGGCTCGTGTTTTAATTTTATATATGTATGTACATACATACATATTTGCTTTTATCATTCTGTTGCTACATGTTTACAGCAACAGCTGTTTTACATGTAGCTATAGAATAAGTTGTCACCTACATATATGTACATATATACAAATGTACGTGGCTTAAATTTAGTTTAGGTTTTGATAAATGAAAATTACAATAGGTATTCGACGTATCCCCCCCTGAAGTGTCCTAGAGTCATCTCTCTCATTCTCCTATGTAATGCTCTAAGGCCTGCTCACTCTCGCACACGTAGTCAGTTCAGCTCATGGACTGATACATCTATACGCACACACACGCATACAATTGGCAAGCGGGTCACTTACATTAGTACCTTTGTATGCACATACATACATATATCTTTTTAGTTGCTTTGATATAGAACCGTTATAAATCCAGTCTCAATTGGGCGAACGTCGATCCCACGTATGAAGTTCAACAAAGTCCTTAAAGTTTCTCCCCGCACTTTCCACCCCTTGTCCCTAGTTTTAATATAACCCTGCCAACTTGTTCCGAGTCTTTGCTAAGCCGCGTAAAAAACTCTCTTTACAAATGTTACAAGTGAATTGCACCTATGCAATAGTAACGATTTCTTTATTGTTTAGTGAAATTACGTATGTACTTTGTATATACATACATGTGTATGTATATAAATACACTTGAAGATACAATAATGTAGTTAGCTAATTTTGATTATGGGTAAACCTAGGTTTGTCTGAGGTTTCGACGACATAGACAACCTTCAATCGACCCATATCGAAAAGTCAGAGGTTCGCGTGCTCTCTTTTTTTCTCTGCGCTCTCATTATCTTTGCAGCAACGTTGCTCTCGGATTGCCGCGTTTTGTTGTCTGCGTATTACGTTTTTGCCAGCTGGTTTGCCTTAGCGTTCACTTCGTTTTGTGTTCAGTGTTGCCTTGAACCCGTCAGTGAAGTCAAGTTGTTTTCGATTTCTTCGAGTGTAAGAAAATCAAATCAGATAGAAAACATCAAATAAAAAACACCTAGGTTCGAGTGACGCTCAAACATGTAAGTAACTGTATTCATTTGATAAACTCAACTTAACCTCAATTTTATAGACAGTATTTAACAGTTTCCATAGATATACATATGTACATACATATGTATGTATGTATGTATATACATACATACCTAGGTACGTAGAGAAATGGAATGAATTCAATGATTTACGTTACACCCATACAAAACATATTCTTGGTTCATTCATTAGCTCCAAACTTTTATCATCCATTTCTGCCTTCTATGCGCTCTCTTCTCTGCTTTTCCCTCACGTTCGGCACCACACGCACCCGACCGGCCGACCGTCCACCTACTCGTGGAGCGAACAGCATACGGCATAGCAGACTTGCATACATACTTCGTATACATATGTACGTATGTGTACCTTACACACACATGTATATGTGTAGATATGTATACACAATTTTAAAGGTTTAGATATACAGTTAGAAACATGTACATCGATTAATATTATATACATACATATATGTATGTACACATCTTTGGTTTATATTAGACCTTTATAGTGAATTCTATTTTGTTACTCGTACTCTCCGTTCAACTTCATTTTACTCTCGAAAAGGAACGTAATTTCTAAATACAAATGTATGCACATACATGTATGTAATAATGTACATACAAGTGTAAGAAAAAAGGGGATTCTTTTTGTATCAGCTATTCCCTGGCTTAATGCTGATTAATTTTTTTTGTTTCAGTAAGGTCTAAAAATATATAATTTTTAGTCATATAGAATAAAACGCGAAATATTAAAGAAAGCTCTGAAAAGCTTTTGCATGAAAGCTTTCTGTAGTATTGAAAATGCCACAGTAACTTTTTAGTAATATAATAATATCGATATAGTAATATATTTTGAAAAAATGTACAGCATTTATTGATGCATATGTATGTATGTATTCGAACTGATCTTGCTTACAGTACGAATTTACTATTAATAATAAGTAACTATTGAAATTTTTTTTATTACGAATAAAGAAAAATGAATGTATGCATTAAAATTATATAATATTCTATATATTCTATATTATAGTTGAAAATTTCAATGTATTGAACGGAAAAAAATTAATCAAAAACATGATGGAAGTTACTCAAAATATGGAACTGTCGAAACTGCCAACCGATGAGAGTATAATAAAAAGCATAGCTTTGGACAACAACCATGAAGTGGAAGTACTGTCCAGCCCTGGTATGTAAATTTTTTCGAAATATTAAAAAATGTTGTTCGATTTTTGAATTTTTTGCAGATATCACAGCTGCAGCTAAAGAGAACGGAAACTTATCAGTGCCTGAAGTCGAAGAGGTCGATTCCAAATACAACACCAATGAAAATGATTTGGACACAATATCGAAAGATGACGGTGAAGTGGCTTTAATAAAAGATAGTACACAAGAATTAACAGATGAAAATGTTGATAAGTCGGCCTGTGGTGTTAACCGAGAGCGCGATACGGGTAGCGATTTAGATGCGTTACTACATAAAATAAGCTCGATTGTCGACTGCGTTTCTAAGAAGCCTGCTGAAGGACTCTTATCAGAGGAAGCTAAATCTAAAAATCTGGACCAGAGAAATCTAAAAGACGATAGCATAATGGCGAATGAAAATAATAGTACCGAAAATAATGTGGAATCGAACGATACCTCTGAAGGCGACGGCAAAAAAGACATGAATAAAATCGTAAAAATTACAGACGCCAAAGAAGCAAACGTAGTGAAAAAGATCCCCATACAAATAAAAAACGATGTAAAACAGATTCAACTAAAAGAAATATCTCCAGATAGCATCGAATTGAATAATACCGATGCAGTAACAGAAAAAAATGAGCCAGTACCATCCTCCAATGAAGATGTCTTCATGGATGCACTGGAAACCATCAGTTCCTCAGATGATTTCGATGCCTTTGCCAGTCAAGAGTCTAAAAAGTTTAAAAGTACAGATTCTAAGAGTGAAGCAGATTCTTATCATAAAGAATCGAAGCAAAAACATTCCAATGGGCTGGAATTAATTTCGGATGAAAGCTTAGATCAGTTCAACGATGAAAAAGTTGATAAATCCAAAACGGACGTAACATTTATTAATCTTGATTCTTCCGAAGAATGCTTACCGAGCGCTGAAGCTTTGGAGAAAGAAGAGACGAAAATATCTGTCGACTGCCTCGAACAAGATAGTCAAGCGTCTAATCTGCCAGCAGAAGATATGAATAAATTGAAAACTGTTGATGTAGTCGAGTCAGCTCCTATGAAAGCAGATACCGAAACTTCTGTGAACGAATTAAGCATCGAGGCGACGAATGAATTTGAAACGGATGAGAATAAACTTTTAAATTCTGACGATGCTGTTGATGAAAACAAATCGAATGAAGATACTTCAGAAAGGTCTAATGAGGTAGCAGCTTTAAATAAAAATTGGTCGGCAAAGGATTTGGCTAGAACGATAAACAGTAATGATGACAGTACCAAGACAATTCTTGCCTCAGATACTAAGGGAAATGAAGCTGATGAAGCCCATGTATCTGAGGATAAAGAGACGGCGGATAAGATTTCAGAAGCCAAACCTGAAGACGAAATGTGTGTTGGGTCGTCTTCCATTGCCAAAAATGAGAAAAATGAACTACATGCAAAAGACCAAGATTCTGATGATGAAGTAATATTTTTCGAGCCCATTGAAAAAGAGGCAGAAGAAAATAACTCTATTGGTAGTCCTCACACGGAAGAAAAAAATCAGCCATCTTTAACGGTTGATAAAAAAGACGATGAGATTGTGTTGCTGTCTGAGGACGAAGATGAAAATTTGATTCGGAAGAAACCAGGAAAACACACATCCAGCAAAACAGTTGAAAGTGTGAAAAGTAGTGCTGAACCTGAAGCGAATAATGGAGTGAGTCTTGAACCTGTTAAGGCCACGAACTTGAACACTGACAACTCGGACAACGCTTGCGATCAGTTTGAAAAATCAAAATCTTTTGAAAAACTGAAATCAAGTTTAATAGACGATACCAGCAGCAATTCGAGCAGCAATTTGCTATGTCTTTCGAATAAACGAGTGACCCAATCAAATGAAGTTGCCACTACAGAGGTTGATGACGCCGATGTTGAAATTATTCCAGACGAACCTGAAGACGAGCAACTGTATACGAAAATACCCCCACTAAAGCGACTCAGACTAAGCACAGAAGACGACGAGAAAGCGCCATGCCAACCAAATAATAGCTGTTCTTCTGTCGTCAAAGAAGATCAAGATGCTTCTGAAACATCTGGTGTTAAGCGCACATACGAGTTAGTGGATAGTCCCACGCCGAAGGAGGAAACTCCAAACAAGAAAATAAAGACTGATGATTCGGACTCCAATAACTCTAACGACGGCCAATTACACATTGATTTGGATGCGCAAGAAAAGGACGGCGAATTGCCATTAAAGTCACCTGAGCAAGCCCTAAAACAAGAACAAGAGAAAATCGAGCTAAGTAAAAACGACGAACAACAAGATCTAATTGAAGAGATAAAGCCAATTAAGTTGCAGCCTCCGCCAGAGTTGAAGACCGATGTTCCGCCATTGCGCCTAGAGTTTATGAAAACTTTTCGAAAGAGCTTTGACAAAATGACTCGGCACGACTTGGAGGAACTTGTGCTACAAAAGGTTGTCGAAAGCATGCTGGTAAAGAGCGAGTTCGCTGAGTTAAACAGCCAAGTAGAAAAGTACAAGGCTTCAATGGCAACATATCGTCGCAAAATCGCCGAAATCTCCAAACAGTTTCTGGATCTTGACACAGTTCACAAGCGTGTGGTAAAGGATCTTGAAGCCAAGAATGGACAGTTTACGGCACCTGTAAGAATTACCCGAGCCGTTGGGCTGCAGGTCGGTATGTCCGTTAAGAAACCTACCGAGGACACACGCCCGCCAAGCAGTACCGGAGTGAATAGTAGCAACAGCATCGGATCGTTATCAGGTAGCCAAGCACGTACAGGCACATCACCCAAAAATATGGGTTCTCCGCCCAAAAATGTTGGCCCAACATCAAAAAATGTGGGCACATCTTCAATCCGTTCCCCTGTGAGGGGTTCAGTCCCCGCGGCCGCATCTATCGCAACAACAAGACCAGGTCCCCAGCCAAGCTCCAGTCCGAACACATTGCGCAGTGCCTCCCAATTTGGTCCTTATGGTCCGGGTGTAAATAGTTCCGCACCGTCAGTGCGTCGTGGTTGCATGCAAAAGATTACCCCTCAGCGTCCGGGGCCAATAAACAACTCTCATACTCCTGTCAGTAGTAATCAGCCCTCATTAGGTGGTCCGCGGCCGCAGTCAGGGATAACATACACATCCGTTATGCAGGGCAAGACATCGCCAATAAGTAAGCTGCCAGCAAGTACCAGTTCAACTGTGACTGCTGCAGCAGTGGCTGCGGCAACTGCGGCTGTCATACGTTCTCGCAGCATGGGAAGTGCATCATCTGGTAAGGACTTCCAACAGGCGTATGCCACTCAGAAGCAGCAGCAGCAGCAACAACAACAGCAGCAGCAACAACAACAAATGAACAACCAGTAAGTTATTAATAAATATACATATATTTACTTTGTTGTTAAACCTGTTCGGAAATATATACTCATCAGTCATCCTGTGTGTCCACATCAGATTGATCGATAGCATATAGTATTGCATTACTAACAACCCTTTATTAATTACAGACTGCGCAATAATCAGCAATACAAGTTGGGTCCAAAGGTCCCTGCAAAAGTTCGATTGCCTGTGGGTGGTACCGTCTCTGTCCCCGTATCGAATACTCAAGCCTATAGTCAGCCCAATTTGACACCTGCCAAACCCAAAGAAAAGGCAGTAATTGATTTGACCGACGAGGATGATGCAGCAGCTGCTGCTGCTGCTGCTGCGGATGCTACTTCTCGGCTAAGGCAAACCCCTAATGTCACGATAAAACGCTCTGTTCAAGCGTCGGTCACAGCGCTTCAAGGCGGAAATGTGCGTCCGGTGGCCGGCAGTGTGGTGCGTGTATCCCCGCTAAATATGCCACGTGCCAATGCTGTGGCGCGTCAGATTGTGAATACCGTCAACTCCCAAGGTATGTACGGCTATTATTAACATTTGTATTATCTTTAAAAATATTTAAAAAGTGTTGAATTGAAATAAGTTTACCAGCGAACTTTAAAACATTTATTCTTCTCTATAGCTCCACGCCCCACAATTGGCTCCAATGTGACCATGCAAATACGATCAGAGAATGTCCCGCCTAGTTCGACACGACTGCGCTACTCGCATCCGGCACCGCTGCCCACTTCACCTGCCCAACCCTTTAATCCTGCATGGAAAATGCCGCCATCTCGACCCGTCATCCGAATCAGTTTACACGACAGCGGCATTGTAATTTCGTGGACACTAGAGGATACCACAAATCGCTTTTCTAACTGCGTCACTTACCAAATTTACGCTTACCAAGAAACCATCCACGAGCCTAGCACTGACTCTTGGAGGCATGTGGGCGATGTGAAGGCAATGCTCTTGCCCATGGCAGTGACGCTGAATCAGTTCCAGGAGAACCAGCGATACTATTTTGCGGTACGAGGGGTCGACTGCCATCAACGTTATGGTCCATTCAGTCTACCAAAGACATGGAACTAAATATTTTGGTCCGTCGATATTGTTTTATTGCCGTGACGACGCGTTAATTTGTGGTTAATTTATTTATATTTAGGCTTGTTCTGTTTTCCAATTTCAATATTTAAAATATGTTTGAAGAATAAGCGTTTATCTGAAATTTATAAAGTAATGCTGTTAATCCTAGAAACAAAACGTGTTTTTTCGGAATTCCGAACAGGCCTAAATGAAATGCCCATTTTTTTGCTTCGAATCTACAAGTACGAGTATCTGCTCTAAATTCAAAATATTAACGTATTCATAATTTGTTCCTTAAGTAAAAAATAAATAATTTAAAAAAAACACAAGCAAACCACATAAAATAGTACCAGTAATCGTCTTCAATTTTTAATTCATTTTAGCATATGCAAGACTCAAATTTTAATATATAAATTCTTTATGGAATTAAAAAAAACAATATTTATATTAAACAACAATTATACATCTACATAGAAAACTAAGTAAATGGCGTTTAGACGTTAAGAAATGCGAAAAGTATAGAAGAAAGTGTTTTAAGTATAATGTCTAAACCCAATAACAATAAATGAATAAATTACCCTTGAAGAAAACAAACCGTGCGAATTAAAATTAGTCCTATATTTAGAATAAACAATTTTTAAAAGAAATTCAGTTTTATTTTAAAATACTGCGAAATCGGCCTGCAGATTTGTCCACAACAGCTTTATTAAATATTATTTTGTTTAACAAAATTTACATTTCGTTGTGTTTAAACAGCAAAGTTTCTTTTTTGTTACCCCATATGATTTGCATGCTTTTGAAAATACTGCACTTTTTAGAAAGTGTATACAAGTATACACATACTACTTGTATACTATGTATGGTATTCTTGAATATGGATTTGTTGGCCCTAATAATTATACTGTGTACATTTTGTATTCATAGCAGAGTTGTTGAAAATAAGTAATTAACACATACATAGATATGCCAATTTGTGGGGTCACTTAAATCGCTGATCGATCTAATGGACACAATGGCAATGAATCTTAAGCACTTGACATTGGCGTGGCAAGGGGCTGGTGGGTCGGTCGCTCGATACAAATGGGTGTTGGTGGCAACGAAAGTTTCGCTGACATTTCTGTTCACTCAAGCGGGGTAAGGATAGGGGCGGTAACTTGCAGTATCCATATCAATGCATATTCATATATCTAGTATGTGTTTGTGTTTTATGACATAATCGTGTGCTAGTTGCTAAGGCGGCCAGGCAGTCTCTAGTGTGCCATGTGCCTGACCAGCAATTTGAGCACCCGCCGAAAAACCTTGACATTAGGCGCTAGTGCAACGTTGCACGTCTGTATAGACATGAGTGTATGTTTGTGTGTGCACGTGGGGAGTGGATGGTTAAGGGTATTTGTTGTTAGAGAAGTCGTGAAATTGCCTTCTGGTACACGTGCGCGCATTTGGAAATACATTTCAAGTGAGCATTTCTAATACCCTGTACATAAAGGGTAAATTGGAATACTAGTTTAGTGCGAATGTATGTAACAAGCAGCTAGGATGCGTGACGATTTAGTGTGTATTTTTGTGACGAACTCCCCCCCCCCCCCCCCATTCCACCGTTATAAGTGACATTCCCGTAATTCTATGAATTTTTAACTCAACTTGGTATTACATCCTTATTGTTGGTTGGGCTTGACTCTGTACTGCACACATACACAAGTACATTGTCTCGCGTAGACACCCATTTTATTGAACGACGACCTATGCACGTGTTATTTATTTTTGATTTGATGAATTTTATTTAATTAATTCAGTTTAAATATTAATTGAAAAAAAAATACATTTTAAATTGTTTATTTTTTTTTTTTTAGGGGAGTGTATAAGAGCTGAGCCCACGCGACTCTAGTATTCATTTTTCAAATAAATCAGTTCAAAACTGTTGACATGTGTATCATTTTGAGATTATCTCACTCGAATGGTCTTAACATGTCTAGAATAGTTGGGTAGTTACTCGCTGTGAATCGGTAGCAAAGTCTGCTAGCATAGACCTACAGATGCCTTTGTTTTTAGTATTTTGAGCTATCAAAATCTGTAATCCACCAATTATGCATATTTAATGAATTGAAAATATAATCACACAAGGTATACAGACATAAAACACAATAATATGTAATAAACCTATCTAAATATCTAGATATATTAAATTCTTATGGGGCGTTATATGAATAGCCATTGCACACACACTACCCCCCTCACACACACACATCTACCGCCTTGCAATAACATAACAAAAGCACAGATGTTTTCATAGCTGCAACTTGAAGGAATTTGCGTTTCATTCATCTTTGATGCGCTCAATGCGAGAGGTAACGGACCTGCGACTGCGCAAAATTTTGTAGACCTCTCTTACTCATGTGGCACGGCAACACTGACCATGTTAGTAGCTACTGTTTGAGGCTACTGTTTTACTCCTGCGATTTAGCGTTCATTCCATCGCCGTGCGCGCTATTTAAAGGTTGTCGTTGTGGGGTCTGTGCGGCACGGCATCAAGCTACAAGATATGGCGGTAAAAGACCATTTGTTCGCTTAGTATTCACACAGTTTCGATTCCAGTTCGGAACTTATTTGCGTGATTTTTACGGCGTTCTTTGTGTGCGTAGATGAGTTTCTTACAAAAATTTGAAGTGTATACATATGTTAATTAATAATGATAATCTTGTAATAATGTGATCCTGATACAAACAATTCGCTTTTCAACTTCAAATAAATAAATATTCAAGTTTTATTGTTCAAAGCGCATAAATGATATATTAAAAATATAAATACAAATATTAAGCTTAAATCACATTATCGATTACACGAAACTCATTTAAAGGTCTGTAGAGCCTTTTGTGTGTAACAAAAAAATTTATATATACATATTTATATATAAAACCACTGTCCAAGCCCCTGCCTTACCTAGTTTCGTGCCACTTTGGGAGTGTGTGTATGTGTGTATGTATATGTATGTTAATTAAATTACCGTTATGTGTGCTTTGCAACACCACCATCGACATCGACATAAATACCAAGCCACAATAAAACAAGACACAAATACCAACACACAATCTCCCTCTATGGCAGTAATTATAAAAAACAAAACCAAGAGTAGCCGCAATAGCAACAACAACAAACACACAGTGAGGGCCAACACATGAGCAATCGTGTACATCAAATAGAAATCCACTTCTATAACATGGCCATGTCCAATGCCCTAAGAGCCGCAAACGTCTGACGTTCAATGGTACTTTGGGGCTCATTTGCTTGATGTGTGTAGAAGGATGTATTTGAATATACTATATAGTCGGAATAGTGTGTGTGCCCTGCCCATTTGCACGTAGCGGTTTACTATTATTAAGCGCCTTATTGTACACCAATGAGTGCGCGCGTAAGTATGCTATGTTTTTCGATTGGTGGGCTCGCCACGAGCTTCGCTCACAGACTAGTATCTCCAACATATTGAATACAACTTTTCGTTAATATGGCAAATGAACTATGCGTTAAATAATGAAGGGCGATATTCATGGTATGATGATGGTAGATAGGAACTTAAATATGCTTCTAAAACCAATGCCACGGTTGGAATATTTAGATTGTTGCAATACCATTTCGTTTTAGAATAGCAAATGTTGACCAATAATTTCCAATATTTGTTTTTATCGAGGTAATTTGATTTTTGTTTTAAACAATTGAAGATGAATGTTGTTTTTAATTGAATCATGAATATTTTGATTGATTCTTTTGTTTTTATTTTATAGAGCATTTTATCTTTAATTTAATAATTTTATTTGAAAAAAATCGAATCTAATATTTACTCAGATCAAGACGAATTTTATAATGGAAAATATATTCAGTTTTAAGGCTTCAAAACTATGTCGCCTAGTGTATTTATTTCAAGTTCCAGCTACCATGGGAAAACATTTACTATGTGTTCTTCTTACAACATTGAACAGAAAGGTACTTTATAAAGGATCCTGCAAGTTACTTTGTTCAATTAAGTTGCAAATTGGCAACCTTTCGATGTGAAATAAGCTTAGACCTGAAGCGTCGTAAAAGTTATGGCACTTTATTCTGCGTTGTGTAGGGCTATGTTCCTCACACAGGAAAATATACATGCAATTATCAGCTAGTTGACAGAGTTTACATTATGTCAAATGAATATATAGTATATACATATATTTTGAATGTGAACACCACAAAAAACACACGTATTTGCTTATTAAAGACAGAAATATGCAAATGTGTAAACACCAGCATAAATGCGCTCTAATAGTAGGAGCGTTTCGAATTCAGTATTGATTATCAGTTTTGCATACTAATATGGTTTCCCATTGGCCAATCGCAAACATATACAAATGGTAACAAGGAAGTTAGAAAACAAACAAAGCGACCACACAAACGACGAGCTCACGAGGTCTGTGTGAGAAATATTTGGAACCCCTGATTGAACTATTTTTAATGCAACAGCAGCTACAATTTCTTCTTGGAAAATAATGACATTCTGCAAATATTGAATATTCTAAGGTTAAGTAAGTTAAAAAAAACAAAAACAATCCTACACGGGTTGGTTTAGTTTTCAGAAAATTTTTGCAGACTGCAATGAAATAGTATACTTGAATTAATGTATACGGCTAATATAAGGTTAAGAAATGGGGCGTAAGGCCAAAACACTATCAGTATAGCCCATTTATACAAAAGTTTGCACACGCACACAAACATATGTATGTATGTATATATGTATGTACATTTACATTCATACGTACATTTGCAAATATTGCTGTGCGGTTGTTGTGTTTGCTATTTGTCGTGGACGCCATGGCAGCTGTTCTTGACTGCCTGACTGCCTCAGCCCTTCTAAAGGCTCACTATCCATTTTTACAAAAAAAAGAGGCACAGACAGGCTTGCTTTATGTGTGTGCTTGAACATGTAAGTATGTATGTATGTATGTGTGCGCATGCTTGTAGTGACGGTCCGACGTAGGTGTCTTGTCGATTTGCCAGGCGGCCCATTAAAGACTTTTGTCTGACAATTGAGGAGGAGGCGGTTTGACATGCGGGCCATGTCGGCCATAGGCTTGGTTGCCGCTTGTTTTGTTTGGATTGTTCTTTTTTCTATTTCCAGTTTAGTTTATTTCAATCGGTTAGCGTGCAAGTTTGTTAGTTTTTCCATTGCCGGCTACCATGGTTGCCTTCATACATTTCCGTTGCAGTCATAAAAGCGAACAGCTGATAAGAACACACCCAAACAAATACAGTTAGCACACATACATACATAACCTATGTACATGTATGGAACTCTTTATAAATAGACATTACACCCATTTAGGACATGATTTTATGAACGTAAAGAGTATAAATAGATCTC